CTCGGCCATTTCCGTATAATTGTTTTGAAACTCTTGATTCCTAAATCCCCTTATAGAGAACAATCTCGTCTTTAATTCTATTTAAAAAAGAACCTGTTAACACAATCCATACAGGATTAAAATATAATACTCCAGAAATATATTATAATGAGATGTTATTCATACACGGTCTTTGATTGTATATCAACAACAATTTATTTATTTACTCAGAAATAATTATGTATGCCGTAGACAATCATTTTCAAGAAAAAATGTTTTCGATGAAAAACGCTTGAAGGGGACTCCGGCCTTCGTTTTTTCGATAAAACTTTTTTTATTCAAAATTATTTTTTGTTACATATCATTCAATGCAGTTTAATACGCTAATTCTAAATATATTATTTTTTTCTATGAAATATTTTTTCAAAGTCAGAAAAACTTAGGTCTCTTGTGCAATCCAGGGATTTTTGCGTTAGCACGGCTAAAGATAATAGATAGAAGAATATTCTGGAAACGTTTTGAAGGTTAGATGTGATTGGACTGCTCATTTAACGGCACTAGCTGTTCGGACAGCATGGTAAAAAAGAAATTATTATTATTTTTTTCTCAGAACTTAAACGTTCAAAGAAAAAAAAAAAAATTTTACTATTCTATACAACCTGGCTTGAAGATTCAGAAAATGTACTTGATTAATCTATCGAACAGTTTAATTTTGTCAGATATAAATTTTCCCGATGGTATCATGATTTTCAGATTCATTTTTGAGCAACTGAGTTTTCAGTTTCATTGATGGATGTAATGAAGTTATCTATATCATTACATAAAGTATATTTTGAAGTATATTTCCCTATATTTCACTCTTGACAAAACTCGATTTTCATGTTTAGCAATATGTCCATCTAGATGCACACTGTAGAGGAAGTGTTGCTAAGGCATCTGGCACGGCTCGTGGAAGGTGAAAATTCCTACCCTATATACTTCAACACTTTGTTTCGGCCATGTTACACAAAATCGGTAACATAATGCATGCAGTAAAACAGATTATTGCTGCATAAAACGTTAATTTTTCCTGCCCAGACTTGATCTTTGCACCTCTACAAGGTCGATCAATGTTTTCAAATTTCTGCAGACACCATTAAGAAACTGGAAAAATAAATGTGCATTTTGTCGAATTACTTTTTCGATCATCATATTACTCCAAATAAAATCAACTTTTATTGATATCGTAAATGAGAGAAAGATTATTGCTCTGAAAATGACTTTACCTATAAAAATATTGAATTTTTTAGATGAGAATAAGTTTCTAAAAATTTCTATTTGATACCTATATAGACATAATAATCCTAGAACGATAATTACAACCGATGGGATGGTCTACAACAGTACTATATATTGTCGTTTAATACAGTTTGCGGTCATAGATTGACGTTTGATAGGCGGGGTGTTGCGATAATATATTTTATCGTGCTGTGCACAGATGATAATGATCTAAAAATCGAGTATCTGATCGTTTGTAATGCAGTAAAATATGCTCGCAGTTGTGCGCCTACCCAACGGCCATTAACGAGTATGTTTATTTGACCTGGAATGAGAATAACGAATGCATAATATTACATAGTAAAAGAAATTACATGTAATAATTTCAACAGTCATAACTATTTCACCTATAGTTCTTAGAAGAAATTTTTTACATTTAAGGAAAATTTTACTCTATGATTTTTATCTTTGATGAAAAAGAAAATTATTTTTATATTAAAGATTCATCTTTGTCAATCATCCAGATCAACCAAATATTGCTCAAATAACATCAATTATTGATTGGCTTCATAATCTTCAACTTGATCGTTTAATATGTTTATTTATAAATGCTGGTTATACAAATCTTTCACAAATATGTCATTTTAATTCATCAGATTTAAAGATTTTTATTGGCAATAATAATACAACACTTGATGAACAAACTCGTCTATTGGATAGTTTAAATCGTATACAATCTGAACTTATATTAATATCCTCGACATCATTGTTGACTACTGAAGGTTATCTTGTATAAACGTAAAAAAGACAACATGTTCATCATATTGACAACAGTGATTTTTTTAGTCGAATTAAAGCACGATATTAATGGTTAGTCTAGTCAAATGTTGGGTCGTGCATTCCGTCGAAAAAATAAAAATTTTTATTGAACTAATCGTGCAAACGTTTTTCTTTATTTTGCTCCTGGTGATGGCAGATTGTATATAGAAAAAAAAATGCTTTATATTTGTGTTCATGTTTTCGTTGGCTCTTTTTAGGAAACTTTTGTTTTCTTTGACTATCTTCTTGTATAAACTTATATTTGAAAAGAAAAACAAAACAATGGAGCGAATATAAAACATTCGTTTCATAAACAATTTTATACATATATACCTTAGTTTTCGTTGTTGAAAAGAATGATGTAAGATATATGGCAAAATATTGATGCTTGTTTTGAATTATACATATGGGGGTTGCTTCCAATCAGATAGATTTTTGTGGTTAGTTTATGAAATACGATTTAAAAGAAGTGTTGAAATGTAGGTGTGAAAAATTTGAATTCTTCCACACATCGTGACAAATGTTTTTGATATGGGATCATAGACTGTCTATCAATAATGGCTCGTTATAATATATGAACTACATTCGTATTACATTTCTAGAGGATTAATTAAAACGGCAGTAAAGATACATGCCTTGAAACAGATTGAATAAAACAATCTTTTTGTGATTAGCAACAACAACTATATCGTATTTCACATTCTAATCCCGCCAAAATTGTACTAATAACTATTTTCTCCTATAGTCTCGACCATATGTCAGAAACGTATGATTTTTGTATCAGCTATTTACAAGAAACATAGCTTGAATAAAACAAACGATGAGCATTATACTTCTTGTATAACTAATACAAAAATAAGACTTATCTAATATACAGTTGAAGCTATAGGAAAAAAAATAATTGGAAAATGCTAATGGATCGGATACTCCCATATATATATACACGGCATTCCAAAAGTCTACTGAATAAGTTAATGTAAATATCTCTTATACAACTCAAGCGATTTAAGTATTTTTTAATACGATGACAGTATGTTCTTTGAAGTTTTTGTTGTGTATATGTTCAGATAAATGTCAGTGTCTATAAACATTAGAATAAAAACAGTTTCGTTAATGACCAAATTTAAGTCGCCTATCGTTGCAAAAGGAAAACTGCAATTCAAATTTAGCATATAAACGCTAGAAGTAGAGTGTGTTATAGGTGTTTTTCAACTTTGTTGCGAAATCAGTATATTAGTAAATTAACAACAATCTGAAAGATCTTGAAAAATTACAGCAGAGAAAATCGACGAAGTTCTTGATGCTTGCGAAAATGTGCCATTATCGAGTGTTCAGTTTGTTGCAGCAGTCTGCTTCACTCCGCGAACAACATCAAGCAGAATTATGACTGAATATGTTTCGATGAGTGCATACAAGGTGCAATTTGTCCAACAAGTTCACGAAGAAGACTCACAAGATCAAGTTGAAATTATATGACTGCAATACCAATGTTAGAAAATATCAAAAATCAAGAGAATTCGTTGTTTTTTGGACGAAGCCTCTGTTCATTCAAATGATTTATCAATAAACATAAAGTAAAAACCAATGCGTATAAACAATGTATAAAGATCTGATTGAATTCAAAATAAGAACCGATAAGGAAAATAAATTTTCTCTCGCATCTTTTTAATGATTTCGCAAATGATGGATTTAGATACTTCAGTTGATCGTAGTCGTTTTACTTATTTGTTGTCAATCGAATTATACAAAATGAAAATTTAAAGAACATGTTATCATATTATAATAAAAAATAGTCAAATTGCTTAAACTGTATAAGACATATTTACGTTAACTTTTTCGGCGGACTTTTGAAACACCCTGTATATATTGTATAAGTCTAAGTATGAATCATTTTTTTCTACTAGTGTTAGAACTAAATCTTATATCATGATAAGATCGAAAGATCGTCTGAAAACTTCAGTTTTATTGCCATTTGAAATTTGGATGTATCCATAATTAGATTCAGAACAATGAGATTATAAATTATAAATTGCATTTTGACTAAAAATATAATTTATACTGTCTTAAGACTTTTAATCGAGTTTAAATAATGTGTTTATTTGTATTGATCTCTGTCAAAAACTGAATTTGCTTTTGTCGACCAAATAGGTTATTTCTGATAGAAGGAAAAGCAAGACATTAACACATTATTAGCATAAATGTAGTCAAGTAGTTCGTATATTCAGAAAAATCGACAAAATCTAATTACAAACAACCAAATAAAACCTATCGAAGTTCAAAAACAAAATCCATTTGGATTTGTATATACTACACAGATCATAGATGGAATTAATCATAGACAGAATTCTCTACGAAAACATGGAGTGTATGAATGAAAGTCTATTAAATTGGATCTGAAGTTTTCATGTGACTATTTATTACAAAAATAATAGCAATTTCCTTGTCTATGATCTCTCATTTTCGAATAAATTTCCATTATGAAAAGTTGAATCGTTACAAATATTTTCGGCAATTTATTTATTCATTTTCTATCTCTTCAATCGTATACCAGCAACCAGGTTTCATAAAATTTAAATCAAATTTTGATAGATTTCTTTTTTTTTTTTCAAAATAAGAAGAAAAGAACAATTCGCTATGCATATGAACAAAAGCCTGGATATGCAAAATAAAATATTAGTACGACCAAGAAAATATTCAGAACAATTGTTACTAAATGTTAGAATAATAGAGTATATATATATATATTTACGACAAATAATTAGTGTTTATCGTTTCTTTTTTTTGTTTGTTTTATTGTTTCATTAAATGTCCATGACTTTTAAATGATACGACTCTTGCGATTACGAGCCAATGCTTCTGCAAAGTAAACTGTCATGCCAACAAAAGCAACCACAGAAGCAATAACTGCACCTAATAAGAGAATGTCTTCTGCTGTTAGTATCATGTCAAATTAAATCAATCTTACTATGATGATAAGCATCTTGCGAAGAAGAATCATACCAACGACTCGCTACAATTGCTGCTCCGATACCAAAAACAAAAAGAGCAATAGCAGCAGCAAAAGCATAAATAGTTCGAAGACGATTGAGCGGTGCGACTGTTCCATCTGTAATAATCAATTGCTCGATCAGAAGAAAAACAGTCAAACTTAATACTGTATTTAAATACAAAAAAAGAACATATGCAATTCAAATGATATTCTCTTGAACTTACATATAGGAAATATAATGGAATAACTCATGCGATATGCAGATAATGGTGTATTATGTGGATAATCAATATGACAATGAATGACACCAATTACATTTATCATGGCAGCTAAAGCCATAAGAATAATAATTGTACGTCTTAGATCCATACTAAATGAAGTATATTATATTTGTTTGAATAATGCAACAATAAAATACTTGCTTGAATAAATTGTGCTTTGTTATAAAACAAATGTAAACAAAACCAAAACAACGACAAATTTCTATTTAGTAGTTACTTTTCTTTTATATATATATTTATGCTTTAGTTTTTTTTGTTGTTTTCTGTCGACTATTGGTAACAAACAACTGAAGATTGTTAGAACTACTTTAGCTATCAAAGATAGAATATTCTCTCTTTCTCCGATAGATATACAAATAGAAAAAAAAAAAAAAACTCGTCCGAAACAATCCTCTCTTCTCTTTCTCTTCTATTATTGTATTTATTTCCCTTGGGAAGAAGAATAGATATGTGTATTCGGCCGTAGATTAATTAAGCATACAAGACGGTAACACATGCTCATAGAAAATATAGAATCGGAAATTACTCTAAAAAATAAATCAACTCGGTTGCACATTTATCTCGAAATAGAGTACTATGTTGAATCGTAGTAATAATAGTAGTATGATTAAGATAAGTTTCTTTTTTCTTTTTCCGGTGATTAATCAAGTTGAATAATAGATATTATTGTCGTTGAGCCGGCTAGTAATTGTTATTGTCGGTATTAATGAGAAGAAACGATTCGAATTAAGAAATAATGATGTTTGCAAATAGACAAGATAAACTAAATTATGTTGTTCATCGTATAATTATATTGATTTTAAATTGTTGTACTACTTCAACTCATGTATATGTTATGTTATTTTCTTGATGAAAATCGAACATTTATATTTTATTCTTAACATATGAATGATTAATCAAATGAAAGACAAACTTTATTTGCACTCATATTTGATCAAGATAAATGCTAAACATCTTAATATAAAAAAAAAAATAAACGTCATATTTTATGAATCAACATCTTATCGATTGATGATTTTGAAGACACAACACATGATGCGAATTATAAAATAAATGATGATAAATATGAGCAACTCTTAGAAACATCTGTCATCACTTTCTTAATCTATACATATTAAGAATAATATCTATACTTTTTGGTTGATTTAATCCTGTTCGTTTGTTATTATTGAGATAGATAAAAATGAATGTGAAATCGCTTTGTTAAAATTATGTTAATCTAAAAATTATTTCCAAAAAACCATGTCATTATTAATATCATATATTGCCGTCATATTTCTAACTATCATTCTTTGTATATATATATATATATATATCCTTGAAAAATGTTGACGAATGTCTGCTTTTTTTTTTTTTTAGATACAATGTACGAAAGATAAACATCTGATAGTAATACTACAGAATGTTATGACATACTTTCTTTTGAGTAACATTGCTAATCCTTTTAGATTATTGAAACAGAAAATAGTGTTTGGTTTTTATAAGTACGATAAAATTCTATCTCAATTAAAGGATATAAAATAAGTTTGAACTCTCTCCTACAGCGTTGTTTTTTTCACATGTTTTTGTATTGCCCGAGGCTGATATTTACAGTACGCACGTTAGAGATCTCGATCTACTCTATGGTAGAATTTCAGTTTCTTGCTTATTATTGTTACAGAGATACAAGTGATATCAAAATAATGAAAATTGCTGAAAATGTTTTGGCGTTTTATGAGTAATACGACATAAAAGATACTACTCGCAAGGAGATTTATTAATCAAATTTCTTTCAAACAAATAATTTTTAAAAAATCATTCATTAATGTTCATATATATGGTCTCTACCTTAATCTATCACTTGTTTCAATCCACTCAGTGTTTTTTTTCATCATTTGCTCACATTTTACTACTGTAAATATTTTCCATTGTTGTACTACTTGGTTTTCTAATTCTAATTCGTCGTTAAAGTGTTAATTTCTCAGTCCTTCTATAATTGCACATTATACATTCTCAATTGATCAAATACTTAGGGCATACCAAAAGTAGTGAGAATGACACTTTAATACTTTAGAGTAAACTTAAAGAAATTTTCTTTCTGTACAGTCTGATAGAGAAAAAAGCTCTATCTTTCTATGTTATTTGATTGTACTTCAACAAATTTCATAGTAATAAAATTTCTATAAGATGTGTTTTCGTTATCATATGTTCTGGTCGTATTAATACTCATTTTAAAAAATACGAGAGAGTATTTTTTTGAATAACTATTGATAAAAATAAGATAAAGAAGTGCGGTTTTCACCGTTGGAAATCGGAGATGACGATCCATCGAATCATGTATTCCAGGTTCTCCTGATATGCTTTTTTTGTAAGGTTTGCAATTGATCTTTTTAAGAGCAAACTGATATAGTAAGTTGTTTGCAGTAAATTTTCAATTATCAAGTATAAATTCAAACCACTTATCGTAGATCTACGAAGTCCGGAAGGCTGAGATGAATAATATGCGTTCTAGTCGAGTCTCAAATATGATTTTGTAGCAAAATCTGTGAAAAAAGCTCACTTTTGTGCTTTTTATCATAAAAAAATGTTTTTTCAACTGTTAGAAAATTGAATAAAAATACTTCAGAAATGAATATTAGAAAAACTTACAATATGCGATTCGAAGCATTTTCATTTCCTCTTTCCAATGTTGAAAACCACACTTCTCTATTTTGTTTCTATCAAAACTTGTTCAAAAAATACTTACTAGCCTTTATGTAATCGTGACACATGCGAACAAAACAGATTTTATCGAAATTTTCTTATTTTGATATTAGTTGAAGTATGATCAAATAGCATAGAAACATAGAGTTTTTTTCTCTCTATCAGACTATATAGAAAGAAATTTCCTTTAAGTTTACTATACGGTATTAAAGTGTCACTCTCACTACTTTTGGTATTCCCTAAGTATAAGCAAATTTCGCATAATCTATTTCTGACTCAATTCGTTCGTCAACGTCTTGTCATGTAATTCCTTCGTATATTTTGTTGTTTCTACAATTTACAATCATGGGAGATAAATAGATAGTATTATTTTTTTTTTGCTATTCACAATGGCGCAGACAAATTACAGAACGGAAGAACTACATGTAGAAAAATAAACGTTACTCCATAGTGAGTGAGTGATCGAATGACTACAACTTTTTTCATTCATGGTGATTTCACAAATAACTCTAAAATTTTCATGATGTGTAAACAGTGAATATCAGCATTGAATAATACAGAAACATGTGAGAAAACAAGATATTGCATGAGAGCATTAAAGCTTATTTTACACTCTGTATCTAAAACAGAATATAATGTATTATTCTTCTGTATTATCAAAAGACTTATTTTGTCAACAATCATATCAGCATAATGCCTTATATGTTTTCAATATCAATATAATGATTTTAGTTTGTTGGTATAAGAGAAATATGATGATTTCTATTTTTAGTCTATAAAATACTAAGTTATGGTTGTTGAGTTTAATGAATAATTGCTAAAAGTCTTTGAAAACATTCACAGAGTTCTTGACATGACAGCTGCCAGATGCATCGTTAAAAAGAGAAGTGGAGCTGTCACTTATACCTAAAAATACCTCGAACAGGAGTTTAAGTAATACACATGATGTAGTAGAAAAGCACTGTAAGATAAAATATGTTGTATGTGTCGTGCTTTGCGACATAACGTACGGGACATGGAAGTGCGATACGGCGTACTCGTTGAGACACATTTTGAAAACGTAATACGAATCCACTCTTCAGCGTATTTGCCATTTTGTTTTCTGCAAAAGCGAATAATTACTTTTTTTTCAGTTTAATTCGAGTTAAGAATATCGATTTTTAAAATTCAGGCGGTCTAATCTTGAGATCTAACGATCTCAAGCTCGTTTGATCTCAATCTGAGCTCTTCAAGATACTTCTTTCTCAATCAATAATTAATCAAGAAATATTCTAGAAAAGAAGACATACGGAAACATATAAAGTTAGTATGTTTAATTGAGTTGATTATATGTAGCTCTATATGCAAAACAAAACGGCGAATGAATAGTTAGCGAAGAGACCACAACACATTCTAACTACCACATATTCTATTTTAGTGTAATTCTTTTCGCCAGCCTTTTAGATAAATATTAAATGGCTGATTCTAGTATACTTTTCTCAAAGTACCGTCTCCCGAGAATTAACGCATTTGACAAAATAGTCCATGTTTGAGATATCTCATATCTTAAGAAAAACTCATCTTTTTGAGCTGAAACTTTCAGGACACAATAAGGATCATTAGGTCTATTATCGGGAATATTTCAGATGAGAATCCCTTGCTGAAGTTTTTCTCATAATGTCCTGTGATAGGCTGAAAATTCAGTAAAATGACCATAATTCGAGAAAAAAGATCTAAGGACACAAAACCTTTTAGAGTTTTTATCTAGATTATGAGTCCTACACCAACGGGCAAAATATGAGTTCAAACGGCGTTTATCAGTTGGAAAGATTTCCTTGTTAGATATATTTATTGAACTATTAGATACTTCAGCAATCTAAGTAATAACATAAAATGCTTTAATAGTTAACTTACGTGGAGGTTCATTACAAGCTAAACATTATTTTATTAAAAAACGTGAAATATCAGATGGAAAAATTTTAGATGCTAGTTAGTGAAACAAAAAAAATAAGATATTCATGTTGAACATCTTAGTCCATATTCCATATGAATTATATCTTTTTATTGAAAATTCTTCAGATGATCGTTCAATAGCAGCAACAACATTATTCATTCATTTTAAACTATGACAAGTACTTCGTTATTTATGTGAACAATTATACAGCATGTCTACTTACATGATGTTACTACCTATTGATACAGATAAATGGTGCAACTATTTGAAATTATATTATGAAAAAACAACAAGTTCGACTTTTTCGAGGATGACCATATGTTAATAATTCATAACAAATATGTACATGTATTGCGAGCGATTTAAAGTCAGATATACATTAATATAGATTGTTAACATAATCTCTATGGTATTGAAATATAAAATGCAATGTATCAAAAAATCAACGATTTGAATTTGTTTATGTTTGAAATGTGAGTTCCATTTGATATTTCTAAATGGGATCGATAAAGGATGTTGTTCAACTTGATATGATATGGGTTTTTTAATTTTTGTAACAGATTTTTCTATGTACTTTTTTTTATAAATTAAACAAAATATTTTTTTCTTTGCTAACCGAATTTGGTACGTCATCCATTACCAGGTGATTTACAAGCTGAACATGTTCAAATAAATGCTGATCATATTATATGGCAAAATTTTAAACGTATTGTAACGATTCCTGAGATAGAACCTTCATGTTCTGTTCGCACAATTACAGCAAGAACATAAGTATGATTTTCTAGATGAATCTATAGCAAATCTACACTCAACTGCATTTGATGCTCGTCTAATGAATTCATAACTGATGATGAATGCAATTATTTAGATATTCATACGCTTGAACCATTCAAGCCAAATTATTACAAATTAATATATTTGTCTATTTTTTTAAGATTTTATATTAATCTATTCTTTTCCTTTTATTTACATACTAAAGACTTGAACCGTGTAGTTCACCAGCAATTGATTTTTTTTTCTTTTGGTTAAATACGAGCTGATTGTTTGAATGGTCTAGATAAGCTTCTATTCATTAAAGAATATTTTAAATGAAAAAAACAAAAATATTGATTTATCAATGATGTATTTAAAAATTTTTAAAATTGCGCATGTGCGTACGCGATAATGAGTCCGGAAAAGTCGGAAAGGCAGGTAAGTACTAAAAGAAACCGACTAATTGAGAAACGAAATAAAAGAAACTATAATTTCTTTCGAATTTTCTCAAATATTTTTCTATAGTCCAACAGATGAGGATGATTTGAAGGCAATTTTTCTTCAGCAATTTCTACCGCTTGCTGAATATTTTTCATTGCCATATTATATTGTCGCATAGCCAAATATAATTTTGCCAAATAATAATAAATTACAGCTAAATCAGGATGATTTTTTGGCAGTTTATTTTCACGTATTTCTATTCCTTTTTGAAAATACACCAATGCTGTTGGATATTCTTTCATTCTTCGATAAGTTTCACCCAAATTTGTATATGTTGTTGCACATTCCAGAGGATTACATCGAACATTTTCTTGAATATTTAATGCTTTTTGATGAAATAACAGTGCCTTCTCATAATATCCCATTAATCCATTAACATCACCGATATTGCTGAATGTAATAGCAAGATGAGGATGTCGATCAGTTAACGTTTTCTGACGTATTGAGAGACTTTCTTCAAAGCATTCGAGTGAACTTGAGTAATCTTTCATACCGCGATAAACTTTTCCTAAGTTACTATATGCAAAAGATAACGCAGCATTATCCTCTTCTAATGCTTTTTCCAGAATTTCAAAAGCATTTTGAAGAGACTTGAGAGCTACAGCATAGTCACCCATGTCATGATACGTAGAACCGATATTGTTATAGGAACGTGCCAGATCGGGATGATTCGGAGCCAGAGTTTTTTTTCTTATTTCAAGTGCTTTTTGCTGAAACTCAAGTGCCTTGGCGTAGTCACCCATTTCGTTATACACCAAACCAATGTTGTCGAGGGATAGTGCCAAAGTCGGATGAGTGAGAGGCAGCGCTTTTTCGAAAATTTGATGCGCGTTTTCAAAAAATTCAAGTGCTTTCGCATATTCACCCATATCGCTATACACTCCACCAATATTGTTGTAGGAAGCAGCTAACCTGGGATAATTTGGGGGCACAGTTTTTTCGTCAATTTGAAGTGCTTTTTCGTAAAATTCAACTGCTTTCGAAAAGTCACCCATCCTGTCATACACTAAACCGATGTTGTTGTAGGAACTAGCTAAATTGGGATGAGTAGAAGGCAGAGCTTTTTCACATATTTGATGTGCTTTTTCATAATGTTCAAGTGCTTTGGAGTAGTCACCCATGTACTTATACACTAGACCAATATTGTTGTAGGAAGCAGCCAAATTGGGATGAGCTGGAGGCAGAGCTTTTTTCGTAATTTCCAGGGCTGTCTGGTAAAATTCAAGTGCCTTGGAATAGTCATCAATGTTGTGATACACTGCGCCAATGTTATTGTAAGTACTAGCCAAATTGGGATGGGTGGGAGGCAGAGCTTTTACTCTTATTTCAAGTGCTTTTTCGTAGAACTCAAGTGCCTTGGAATAGTCACCCGTTTCATTATACACCGCGCCAATATTGTTGTAAGAAGTAGCAAAATCGGGATGATTAGGAGGCACACCTTTTCTAGTAACTTCCAGAGCTTTCTCATAAAATTCAAGCGCCTTCGAATAGTCACCCATATTGTTATAAACTAGACCGACGTTGTTGTAGGAAGCAGCCAAATTGGGATGAGTGGAAGGCAGCGTTTTTTCGCTTATTTCATGTGCTTTTTCATAAAATTCAAGTGCCTTCGGGTAGTCACCCATATACCTATACACTAGAGCGATGTTGTCGTACGAAGTAGCCAAGTTGTGATCAGTAGGAAGTAGGTCTTTTTCTTTAATTTCATGCGCTTTTTCGTAAAATCCAAGTGCCTTCGAATAGTCACCCATATTGTTATAAACTAGACCGATGTTGCTGTAGGAAGTAGCCAAATCGAGATGATTCGAAGGCAGAGCCTTTTCTCTTATTTCAAGTGCTTTTTCGTGAAACTCTAGTGCTTTGCAGTAGTCACCCATTTCGTTATAAACTAGGCCAATGTTGTTGAAGGAAAGTGCGAAATTCGGATGACTGGAAGGCAGCGCTTTCTCGAAAATTAGGTGTGCCTTTTCATAAGATTCAAGTGCTTTTGTATATTCACCCATGTCGCTGTACACTCCGCCGATTCTCTTGTAGGAAGCAGCTAAGTTCGGATGATTCGGAGGCAGAGTTTTTTCGTCAATTTCAAGTGCTTTTTCGTAAAATTCAAGTGCCTTGGGATAGTCACTCAGATTGTCATACACTAGACCGATGTTGTTGTACGAACTAACCAAATTGGGATGAGCGGGAGGCGAAGATTCTTCGTATATTTCATGTGCTTTTTCATAATGCTCTAGTGCTTTGGAATAGTCACCCATGTTGCTATACACTAGACCGACGTTGTTGTAGGAAGCAGCCAAATTGAGATGAGTTGGAGGTAGAGCTTTTTTCGTAATTTCCAGAGCTTTCTGGTAAAATTCAAGTGTCTTGGAATAGTCAGCCATGTTGTGATACACTGCACCGATGTTGTTGTATGCACTAGCCAAATTCGGATGGGTAAGAGGCTGAGTTTTCACTCTTATTCCAAGTGCTTTTTCGTAAAATTCAAGTGCCTTGGAATAATCACCTATGTTGTTATACACTGCGCCGATATTATTGTACGAAGTAGCCAAATCGAGATGAGTTGGAGGCAAAACGTTTTTCCTAAGTTCGAGAGATTTCTCGTAAAATTCAAGGGCTTTGGTATAGTTACCCATGTTGTTGTACACTGCAGCGATGTTGTTGTAAGAAGTAGCCAAATTGGGATGAGTGGAAGGTAGAGCTTTTATTGTAATTTCCAGAGCTTTGTCGTAAAATTCAAGCGCTTTGGGATAGTCACCCATGTTGTTATACACTAAACCGATGTTGTTGTAGGAACTAGCCAAGTTGAGATGAGTGGGTGACAGAGCCTTTTGCGTAATTGCCAGAGCTTTCTCATTAAATTCAAGCGCTTTGGAATAGTTACTCATGTTGTTATACACCAGACCGATGTTGTTGTATGAACTAGCCAAATTCTCATTATCGGGAGGCAGTGCTTTTTCTTTAATTAGAAGTGCTTTCTCGTAAAACTCAAGTGCCTTGGAATAGTTCCCCATATTGTGATACACTAGACCAATATTGTTGTAGGAATTAGCAAAATCGATGTGAGCGGCAGGTAGCGCGTTTTCGCATATTTTATGTGCTTTTTCATAAAATTCAAGTGCCTTGGAATGGTCGCCCATGTCGTTATACACTGCGGCGATGTTATTGTAGGACATAACCAAGTCTGGATGAGTCGGAGGAAGAGATTTTTCTTTCATTGCGTGTGCTTCTTCGTAAAATTCAAGTGCTTTGAAGAAGTCGCCATTGTACTTATGCAGTAGAGCGAGGTTGCTAAAGGACTTAGCCAAATCGAGATGATTGGGAGCGAGAGCTTTTTCTATAATTTCATGTACTTTTTGGTAATATTCGAGTGCATTCAAATAGTCGCCCATGTTGCTATACACTGTACTGATCTTGTTGTAGAAAGTAGCCAAGGTGGGATCAGTGGGAGGTAGCGCTTGTTTCATAATTTCGAGAGCTTTCTCATAAAATTCAAGTGCCTTGGAATAGTCGCTCATAGTGTTGTAGACTGTACCGATGCTGTTGTACGAAGTAGCGAAAGTTATGTGAGTTGGAGGAAGAGCTTGCTTCATAATTTCTAGAGCTTTTTCATAAAATTCAAGTGCTTTGCAATAGTCACCCATGTTGTCATACACACCGGCGATGTTGTTGTAAGTTGTGGCTAATGTGGGATCATCTTCGGGGAGAGTTTTTCGGTCGATTTTGAGAGACTCTAGGAAAAGTAAAATCGCTTCTTGGTATTGTGCTTGATCATTTTTCAGGTATCCGAGTTGGTGATAGATATGTGATATATCAGTGTCGTCGGATGTCAGTTCTAATAGTGCCATATAGAATTCTTCTGCCTCGGTGAAGTACGCTATTTTGAGCAGCATTTTACCCATTCGATGCCACATTGTTCTACCGGAAGGCTCTTGTCGTATGCAGTCGGTTAATTCACGTAGTTGTTGGTCGTCGTTTGGGATAAGCTGAAGATCCACTTTATACAGTGGACCATTGTTATCGAGTGTTTGAATGTCTCCAATTCGGAAAAGAGTATCCATGGAGAAGAGAATGTCGTCTTGCTTCTTATTATAACTCTCCTCTCGAATGGAGGCAAAAGTAGTCAATGAGATGGTGGGATCAATGGTTATTTGAAAGAGAGTACCGACCATATCAGTTGTTTCTAGTGCATTTTGGGCAAAGCCAAGCGAGACATCGCAATTTCTACTAGTAGATAGTAAATTATTGAACGATAAAAGACCACCTTTGTTTTTAGTGATTTTTTCAAAATCGACTGTCAATAATCCTTGACCTCGATAAACTAAAATGGTCTTCCTGTGATATTGATGGACCTGTTTCTTGTGTAACTGTTCGATTTGCCGGTGGACATCACGTAGAAAAAATCCCATTTGGATGATAATGTCGCTGTCCAATGTTCGTAATGCTCGATTGAGCATTTTGTACATGAAACACTCACGTGTATACCACCAAATGGCCTTTGATGGTTTATAAGTGCGTTTGAATTCTTCAATAACTTTTGTTTCTTGAAGATTACCCTCGTATTCTGCTTGGCAAAATTCGATCATGTCTTTGATGCCTTGTTGGCTCTGTTCCAAATCACAAAGGATTTTCTTTAATATTTGAGCATACATGAAAGATGGTTTTAGTTGATTGAGATTTTGGTTTGAAACTCCTTCATTGACGCCAATAATACTGATCGTTGTATTATTTTGATTACATTGCTTGACAGCCATTTGCAATTTTTTGCATATAGACTTGATGGATCTGTGGACACCTTTAATTTTTGCCCAATTCTGAGCCCATTCTTTATGGCTTTCTTTGTTGGGACAAAGTATGTAAATACTATGTAACTGTGGTATATCATGTATATTTGGCACGAAATCTTGACCTAAAATTCCCGAAGCAACGAGAAAAACTTTTTCCAAATTAATGCTCTTAAGAAACTGGATACATTCATCTGGTTGTGTAAAAGTTTTAACATCGTTGATGATGCCTTGTACTTGTGCGAGCTTCTTTTGCCAATTTTCTTCTGCTTTGTTGATGGCATCATCCATCCAAATGACCGAATAATTCTCAGCTATGCGTCGTTTTTGTTTTGCACTCATTTTCGATGTAAACTATGCTGCACAGTTGTAATCGTGTATTGTGAATAACTGGTTATTTTTTGGACAGATATAAACTTTCTTATTCATACATTCGATAGCCGTTATTTTTTTTTCTAGCTTTTTTTACAACGACAATGTGGGTATTTTTTTTTTCGTTGACGCTTAAACACAAACACTACCTAATTGCAAGTTGTAATATGCAAGTCAGAAATAAATGATGGAGAAAAAATCCAATAACGTCATTTATTATATTATTACTTTTTCCGATTTTCATTTGCGTTTTATATCAACCGTGACTTAAGTTTCATTGCATTAAATAACTTATCTTGTACATTACATATTTTTCTGTGATTATTTCACAACGAGCTTTTTTTTGTCTCCTTCTGACAAGAACGAAAAAAACAACAAAGGCATCATCGATTGTTTTTTTCGTCATTATGCATAAGATTATCACACTGATAATGTGAATGAAATAAGAAGAAACATAATTTTTATTTTAATTGAAGCAACAATCGAACAACGGTTTCTGCTTAGCAAATATACTGCTGCTGATCATTAACGAATGATTGAAGTAAAACAACAATTCTCATTGTGCTTTTCCTCAGTAATATATGTATTTGTACCTTGTGGTAATTGGAGTAATGATGATTTGCATAATTGAAGTTTAAAAATAATGAAAGATCAAAATAATTATCATCAGTTTGAAAATGAATGAAACACTTGAATGAGCGCTTCACACAGTAATATAGAAAACAAGCACAAGTTTTACATCGATTATTGTCCAAATTTCATCTAGAAACCCACACAAACTGCTATCGATTAGATATTTCAATAATTTAACAGCTTCCTAGTTGCAGTTATGGACTTTAGTCGTGTCATATACATAATGAATATAGCATCATTCTCAATCGTGCTAGAGTGATTTTTAATTTATATTCATTCGAAATATGTGTATCATAAAAAGAAATGTTTGCTTTCCAGTTATATATTAACTGTTCATCTTGCATTAATTTCTGGGATTCATAAAGACATAATATTAAAATTTTGTTTGTGCATATTTAAGATTCACAGTGACAACGACGAAAACTCCTACCATATGCAAACATGTATCACTAGAACTATGGTTATTATAAATTTATATTGATTGGGAACATATTAGGAAAAAATACGTTAATTGATAACTATTTTTTGTTTGTATCGTATGAAAGAGAGCCATATATGTTTGCATACAATAGATAAATAATGAAAAGAATCTCACATGTTTGTTTAAATAAAATTTTTGAATAAATTGAAGACACGATTTTTTCGTCTTTCTTAATCCAAAAGTAACAAAAACAAAACATCATCATTGCATTGCATGTTTGGTATGTTTTTTCAAATGCAAAAGTTTGTTTTGCGAACCACAAACATTGACCGTAACGTTGATTGCATGATTTCTTTTTAGGTTTTTTCTGCAAATGCAACTATGACAGACAAGACAGATCAGCAAAAAAGTTCATTAACAACGAAACAAAAACAAACACAATGCAATTTTTATTATTGGTGTTATGGCTTTTTTTTCTTTTGTTCGTGTCTGCACAGTGAGTGAAAATGTGATGATAAAACATGTAAACAAAGGACTACTGACGAAACACAATATTGTAGTTTTTTTTTCTTCCTTACTTTCCTTGTGTGTGACTGCATCTCATGAAGATTTTTTATCACTCTTTATCCATATTCTTAATATCGTGTTGACGATTTAAAATAAACAAAAATCCAATTAATAATCAATTCAACGCTGTTCATTACATTATATTTATTTCGTTTCTCTTCATGGTCATTGATTCACAAGTATCTAATGTCGCAAAAATCTATAGATTTTGTATGAGTAGCATCATATTAAAAAGATCGTTAAAATCGAACGACTATTCAAGAAACGGTTCTCTAGGGCATTTACTTTTTTGGTGTGACAAGAATATTTTAACATTTGTCACGATGTAAAGAGAGGTCTTCCATAAGCTTTGTTGTTTTTGCATATGTTTATATAGTGATCGTATACAGTGAGAATATGGTGTATATACGACGAAAATGCGGCTATATACTATCGTCTGAGCTTAGCCGTAAAGACACCGTTTACGAGCACTGTAAGAAAGCATTTGAGTAATACAAATGATATCATTTTTTTGCAGTGACCTTCATTTTGGAAAAAAAAATACGATACGATACGATACATTTTCCATTGGAGATAAATTTGAATTCTTGCATTATGTTCAGTCGACACATTAAAATAAAATGCGTCACAGATTTTACTATGGAAATGTGTCGTGATTTATTGGCTAATCATTTATTTATCGTTGTACTTTGTACATACAGCTACATACACAGCCAAGACGGCAAAATATACTAAATTTATGCATTATATAAATCTTTTCTTTGAGATTATTTCTCGATTAACATTTAGTCGAGAACATGTTGAAAGATCAATCAATGGTCGAGATTGGATCACTTCGATGTGATCCGATTAGGATCGAATTGACTCGAAGCAATTGGATGTTAGAATTTTATTGTTTTGTAGTGCAAGAGTAAACACTAATAATTCAGATTAAACTGGGGAAACAGTTGTTATTCAATTTTCTAGAAACAAATTAGAAACGGGCTGAAGGATATATTTGAATCACGGTGTCAGAATGTGTCGCAAGTTCGCTAGAAGAAATGTATCGCAACGAACATTTCGTGTCCCCCTTTTATGTACCATACAATGTGTTGCAAAATACGGCACATGTGACATTTTTTTATTATTATAAATGCACACTGTTTGTGAGTATAGTGTGACAAAATAATTGAAAAATGAAAAAAGCTATTGATTAATTTTTGGACCAAGAAAGTCTTCTGGGTACATGCTGATGTGTAAAAATGAAATTTACTTTTTCTGTTTTGAGTGTGAATATTCTCTCTACCAACACGCACACTCAATCACACTTACACATCGTATACGTACGGATTGGATCTATGCATTTCAGTCAACAAAAAATCCTATTCCATCATTTTAAATATATACGTAGAGATACCCAAGATTAAGCTGTCTAGAGTATTTCAAAAGAAGAAACATACTCTCACGCTTTCTTTTCGTAGATTTCATAGTATCATTTGGTAGGTCTTTTTCTGATCAATCGATTGATATGAAGTTCGAGGTAGACTGCTACCATTGGAGAAGAGCACTAGATGATATGCGTCAATGGGAGTTCATAAGTGGTATGCAGCATAACTCATATAGTTATATAAGGAAAAACTAGAAATATTCTTTTCTCATATGTTCATACATCATTCGATAGAGAACTGAAACAAGCTGATTTTTTATTATAGATCGATTAAATATATATGCAAATGAATGACGTATTTTTCATAAAAAAAACTATAGCTTATATCTTTTCGAGGACATAAAATATGTATAAAGCTCGGTTAGTTCAGAGGCGTGATATACAGAACAGAAAGTGTGGCAAGATGTGATTTTGTTATTTACAGACTTCTCTCAATCAAAATGATAAATCAGGTAAAATAAATTGAATTTTATGAGGGGGTATGGACAATTTTGCTTATAATGAACTCCTTCTTTCTGTAGATTTCGTTATTTTTCAAGTTTACCGGTGATTAAAATAATAAAGATAGCATAAAATGTTAGTCGCCAGTGTATTAGATTAGCGAATTTTATCCATTATTGCTTCTAGAATAGCTGACCATAAATAATGAATCATGCACATAATTAAACAATAAATCGACAACGTTCTTTAGAAATATATTTTTACGCGTTGATGAAGTTCTTCTAGTGATGAATTTTGTCATGTGTGCTTTACACTTCTTTTTCAAATTTGATCAACAAATCAGCCAAAGCGTAAATAATTCAAATTTCCGATAAGAGCAACAGGAAAAAGAATTTGTTGTTGTCAAGTGTCAAAGTCTCGTGGGCAAAGCGTTGTGCGAACAATTGTAGAAACGATTATTTATTTTTCATGAGATATCGATTTTTTTTATTATCGATATTTGCAGTTTCACATCGCATTTTGCAATCGAGTAAAACTCGAATACCATCTAGTTGAATATTGAAAACGTTCATATTGTATTCAGAAAGTCTGTTACTTGAAAGTATATCATTCAATCAGAATAGAAAATTTAAACTACTTTTTAAAATTAATGTTGAAACAGTGATTAAAATGATCGTTTTATTCGTGAGTGAATTTAATCAAACATGACATAGCTTTTTTTTCTAAGCATCCTTAAATCAAATTATAGCATTATATCAGTCGAAAGGTTTTTTGAAATGCGCATGACACTTGATTCTTTATGTGCAACTCTTAAAACGATTTTGATCAAATATTATAATAAAAAGATACATTTTCACAAGGCGAGTTAATCTGAAATAATCATTATTGCTCTTTTCTTTTCTATTACACTACAGTAGTTTCCTGATTAGAAATTCATATAAGAGTTTCGACAAAACTTAGTTCTGTATATGATAGTCATGCACTACATCGGAAACACTCAGGTGTGATTTTGAATTCAGTCATTTTCAATTAATTATTAAAATAGAATAGAAAGAAAGAATACCTAAACATTGTGATGTGGGGTATTTCTCACCTACAGACTCAGTATCCCGATGTCTTTCGTACAAGTCTAACTAGTTGTAGCTTTAGGCAGAAAATCAACCTAATGCAGAACTCTTGCGCTCAATAGCTTGAGCTTCTCATACACACATACCAGCCACAGGAGCAGGCGTATGTCACAACCTACTACGTGGTCACTATACTATCGAACGAGTCATTCAAGACAAATAGCCATTAATGACTTGTTCAGAGTTATTCCATGACTAATGAAACTGAAGTTTTAATACAGTACCTTATAGATAGATGTTGAACATCGAAGTCACTCAGCCATGACATCTATAAAATAGTATAGAAGCGACAAAAAGGATTTTTGGTCTTTGGTAGATCTACATACAATACAATAAATGATCTAAAAACTGAAGTAATACAAGCATCCTAAAAGAAAGTCAAGGATGTTGAAAAATACCCGAACCAAAACTTCAACAAACCTTAAGATGCTCTCATTAGCATTCATAACTTTCAGAGAAGCTTGGATAATTATCTAAACATTCAATATTGTCTGAAGTAAAGATGTGTAGAACCAAGTTTTTTCGTCCCAATAACTTTTCTTCTCGTAGTCCGGATCCAGATAAACTTCCAGATGTAGGCCTCGCACAACTTTAATTTGAACTGGTTAAATAGTTCCCGAATACAGAACCAGAGTTTGGATTCGGTGCATTGACTTTCGCATAATAATATGGTTATATATAGTTTCCGATTATTTCGAGATCAGCTAATACTTTATTCATAAGAAAACCATCTGATTCACATTAATATATGTTATGATCTTCAACTAGACTAGATCACTTTTTATCACTAATAATCGTTTAATTTAATACGCTTATCTAGTATTTTATTTATTTAATTATTTACATAATAAACAAGAAAAACAACTGTTCACAATGAACAATAGAAAAAACAACTATTAATCGTTTTCATCATTATCATTATCATCATCTGGATCCTCAATAATATAATCAGTTGAATCAATTTGATGTTGAATTGTTTGATCATAATTTTGCATCATATCAACAAGATAAGTTGGTATCGATTGATTGATTGATAAAATTTGTTGTTGTTGTTGTTGTTGTTGTTCTTGTTGTGTTTGCATATTAAGAAAACAAAATTTAATCAAATAATTATTACTATGATTGGGATCCCGAACTAAACCAAATGATTGGTCAAAGATTCCAATACATGTATTACGTTGATGAATTGTTCCATGAATTTGTATTAGAACAAGACCATGTTTTGATTCTTCAACTTTATTTGATTGTATATTTGGACAAAAACGTAATTCTTTATTAGCAACATATGAACGAAGAACATCACAAACATAATATGCACCTAAAATTCGACGATTATTTTCATGTATAAGAGTTAATTGACAATCGGGAAAAAAATGTTCAGATTGAAATGTTGATAAATTATTCCATGATGTATAAAACCATTCAGTAAATTGAATTGATAATTGATTAATACTTGTTAATGCAATTGAAGATGATACATTGTTTGATGTTGATTGAGAACCTTTATTCCAAAAATCTATTATCTGTTTAATAAGTTTTACCTAAAACAGAAAAAGAAAGCATTGTAAAATAATGAATCCAAAAAAAGAAGCACAGTTCTAGACGATTTCATTAGAAAAAATTATCTTATATTTTGCAAATAAAAAAGATAAAATCTGTCTTCAATTAAATCGTCATAATTGTCTTTAAAATCTATTCGAAAAAAGCACAAAATTTTGGTCCTAACTCATCGGGAATACTTTCTTTCTAATGACTAAACATTGATCTTTAACCTCGAGTACTATCGTTACAATGAACCTTTGCATGACAAAAAAAATTGGATACATTTTCTTCTTAATGATTGATGTTGATGGGGCTGAAAACAAAATTAACATCGAAAGTATTATTAAAAGTAGTTCTTGTACATTAAAAACCATTCATGAAATCCAAATCTGAATACTTTTTTTAATAATTTCATCGAAACTGCTCTTTATTAAGGAGCATTAGATTTGATTCATCTTCTTAAAGTATTTTCTCACATGTGAGAAACTTGGACCTGCGACAGTAATTAAAAGAAATATATAATATTATTTATGCTTGCATATATGAATTTTTATGATTGATTTAATTGAAATAAGCTAATTTTGTTAGACTTTTATAATATTCGAGCTCGAAAATCAACATTTAGTCATTAAAAATATCTCCAATTTAACTTAGCAAGTCACTTTATCAATGGAAAAATAAATACAAACTTATTATTAGATTAGGTCATTGTGATGACTCGTTAGGTCCCCACTAAATCTAGCTACTATCAGATAATTTTGATGAATACAATGCACAAGTATTCTTTTTCTTAATCTAATATACTGATGAATTCCACTAACTTGGTTTAATTGCATGATAAACTTCATAAAAAAAAACCTAGATATTATGTTTCAGAAGTATTTGAAACTTGTTTTTCTTCGACAAGAATTGAAAATGATGTTAATTATAACACGAAGAATATCTCTTTCAAGAATGTTCAAGTTTCGGTTGCTTCAAGTCATCAACTAAGAGGATCAAAAAATAACTTCACTCCATAGCACAATAATAATAATAATGCTTTTGCTATATTAAAACCCATTATAGAACAGCATTGAAAAAGCTTATCAATATCGAAAAAGACCTATTTGGGACCACATTGAGCAAAAGTCAATCGTTTCTTACTATAATCAATCAATTCACAAAAGCAATCTTCAATAGATGTATATATATATATCATATGATGTCAAGAAATAGAATATCTCTACATACCCGCAGGTTCAGTATTTCGAGAGTTTTCCTACAACTGTAACTAGCTGTATTCTGAACAGAAGACCAGCCTAGCGCAACATTATTAGGCTCAATTGCTTGAGCTCCTGATACTAACCACAACACCAGATGTATGTTACAACGTAATCAGCATGCTATCGACCGTGTGATTCGAGACAAATAATCATTAATGCCTTGCTCACGATCATTTCCTGGGTGGTGATACTCAGGTTTGCACACCACATCTTGCAGATAATACGTGTCAAACAACGTAGCCACGCAGCCATGGTAGCTAATAATAATCTCATAATATCATTCGAAATTAGGAAGCTGCGGGGCCATATTTTTATGGATTCGGGTCTAGATCTTTTTGGGTCCCAACAGACTTAGACTCGAATCCAAGTAAAGCTAAACTTCTGAACTTGATCCTGCAGTTTCCTATTCGAGATTTTTTTAAACACGGACATCTGCCTCATTTTAATGAAATAAAAACTTATTTTTTATATACTATTACTTTATTTTAAAAACGTGATCGAAACTTATATTTCATTGTTTTCTTTATAAATTAAGCTTATTTATTCAATAATTTAAATCATACCTTCTCAGCACCTGGACTAATTGCTACCGATTTTTTAGCTAAATACTGCATAAGAATATCTCTTCGAATTTTTTTTCGTCTTAATAATTGCATTGCTGATTGTGAACATTTTAAACAAGCATCAATAGCTTCAGAACGCTAAAATTTAATGAAAAAATAAATAAAAAATAAAAATACTTTCCTATTCATACTTACAGAACATGTTGATATCATTGATTTAGTTACAGTATCTTTAACTGACATTAATTCAGCGTCAGATAACATTGAAAGAAGTTCTTGAGCTCCTATTTGCTCACACTTATTCATATCTACAAAAAAAAATTTCGCTCAATAAAACTCATATGATAAAGGCAAAAAAAAACATTATTTCTTGATTTCTTAAGTTCTTTTGAAAAATTACCAAATAAAACTAATAAAGGTCTATAAACAAAAAAATTATTCATTGATTTTCGTTCTAGTATGTTTTTTTTTCTTTTGTTTTTTTTTTTTCTTTTCACAAGCAAATATCGGCAAGGAAAAAGAAGAATATATATATATATAAAACATAAAATTCACAAAGAAGAACAACAATGATAATTTTCATGTTTTTTCGATATAACAATAAAAATCATAATTCAAGATGAGAATAAATCAAAATGAAAAAAAAAAAAATGCAAAAAGAAAAAAACGTTTTTATTATTGCTTTTAAATATTGTTGCTGGTTTATTTTGAATAATACACACGATAATAAAGTGTTTTTGAACGCCATAATGAATAACTATTGTCAAATTTAAGTAAATAAACACCATGTCCAGGATATGAATGACTACCAGCATAGACTTCTTCATGACAATCACGTCGATAGATTGGAACAATTTCATTTTGTCGTGGTTTTGGTGGTTTATTTGTACTACCACTACCTTTTTCAATGTCTTTCTTTTCACCTAAAATAGAAAATCCAAATATTCTATGTTGATTATCATATATATGATAATTACCATCTTCATTTTCTTCCTCTTCATCACTTGAATCACTAACATGAACTGTAACTGTATTTGATTCTGCTTTAGTCCATTCGAAATAAACACCAAAACCAAGATCATAATAATCAGTAGCAAATTCCCAAAATATACATTGACCGTCTTCATGTGTTGGAACTCGGACCTAGATTATAGTTTATTAATAATTATAAAGAAAATTTCTTTTGATTTATATGAAAAGTGACAAGAGACTTTCAGTCATTGGAAATATAATACATGTCAGATTAAGAAGAAAGAAAATATGATGGCATCTTGTTTCAACAAACGTTCTTTTTATCTTAGTTCTAATTCAAGAAATATATCAAATTGAACATATTTTAGGCACAAAAAAAAAAAAAAAGAAATACCTACCGTAACTGTTTCACCACTACCAACTTTAATAACAGCATCTTTTTCTTTGCGTATTTGATCTTTAAATTCTTTAATATCTTTTCGTGTCCACATATTTGGTGGTGCTATATTTGGTAGTTCTATTATGAAATAAATCTATAAAAAAAAAGCTTTTTAATTATCATTTCAAATACATACCTTGTTTATCTTCTTCAGAAACAACTGATGATTCATTATTTGAATTTACTGTCGCATTAGGATCAATTGATGATGATGATGATGGTGCAATCACATTTTCGTTCATTAATTCTTGTGAAGTATTTAGTTCATTACTAATTTCTACTGATGGTAATTGTTGTTGTGTAACATCATTATTAATAGATGATTGAGGAATAACAGAAAGTATTGATTCCAATGGTACATCAAGATTAAGTGTTTCAAATTGTGGTTGAATAGGAATGACTGCTTCTAATTTTATATCTTGAATTTTAGTATTAATATTTATTACCGCTTGAGGTGGAGGATGAACTAATGGTGGAAGTTGAATTGGTGCAGGACCAAGAGGTGGCATTTGAGAAATAGATTGTAAAGGCATATTTGGATTAAATGAAATCGATGAATGATCTACATTGGTCGGTACTGATGGTGGAATTTCATTTGTAGGTGACAGCAATGTTGTTACTACGGTAGGTGAGACTACAGTATTTGCTGGTACTGAAGGTGATGGTAATATATTTGTCGGTGTTGAAGATGATATAACATTCTCTGATTGTTGTTCCATATTTGTTTTCTATAAAAATTAACAATGTAGTTTGTCGTTTTTTTTAGGAGCGGGTGGGGAGATTTTGATTATAAATTTTACTGTTCGAAGTTGTTGATCGAGTAATTGTTGTTGATAAATTTGTTGCATATACTGTTGAAAATGCTGTTCTTGTAACTGACGAATGAATTCTTCTTGCTAACAGAAAATAATATTTATTAATAATTTTATTTTATGTATGTATTCATACTGCTGATCGATTATCTCTATATTGTTGTTCAGCGTAAGCTTTAAATTGTGAATATGTTTGTTGATTAAGTGCCTCTTGAATTTGTTTTCTATATTAGTTTATATATCAAAACAAACAAAATAGATTAATAATTTATAGATAATTACCGTTGAAGATCTTCTCGTTTTTTCTTCTGTTTTTCTAAACGTAATTCGTATTGTCTTGCTCGTTCAGCTTCTTGTTCTAATCTACGATAAGTTTCATAGTTGTTTCTAAAAGTAAACAAATTTCTATGCATATTATTTCTTTGACAAGATACAATCAAAGAATATGTTAATGATATAACTTAGCATATTATTCTTAGTTTTGTTAGGAATGTTTAATTAGAAAGAAAGAGAAAAACTAAATACATCTAAAGTAAAATATAAACTACTTTTAGCTCATAATTTTGACGAATAGGAAAGTAAATTTCTCAACTTGCCTTCTCCTTTTTCACTAGCCACTAATACTGCAGAGACAAGAAAAAAGACGGAAACGAGAGAAAAAGAGAGCGCGAGAGAGAGAGAGAAGAAAGGCTCAGCGAATCCTTATTTTTTCCATCACTCGCTTGTCTCTTTCAGTAGATCAAATCTGAAGGCAAATACGATATGAGATCCTCGCTCTAACATTCTGTACTTTTTTTCTTCTTTTTTTTCTTCTTCCGTGTATGCTCATTGGTAAAGAATAGAAAAACAGCCGAGAAAAGCGCCCGTTTATGACAAGAGTAGAACATCAACCGTCAGATAAAAAAAAGAATACCGGGAATAAAAAAAAGGAAAAGTGCGAGATAAAGTCAAACTGTTCCTGAATAAAATTCATTGTAATAAAGATGCGCAAAAAAACAAAAAAAAAAAGAAAACATAAAAGAGAAAACGTATAGAAAAGAATGTAAATAAGATAATTATTATTGGTTACAAGAGCTTTAAAAAAAGAGGAAAAAGATAAAAAACAATTTTAAGAAATATAATGAAGAGACATCAGGATATGAGAAAACTTTGATATTCATTAAACTTTCTTTAAGGTAAAAATATCTTTATCATCAGGAAGAAAAAAAAAAAATTTCATGTCATAAACACAGTTTACTTTCTTACCTTAACTGATCTTTATCTTCGTTGTTCATATGTTGTGTTTCTAAATAGATTCGAAACATAGAACAACGATCTAATAATAATTTAACATATTCTTCCATAGCTTGTTCTTTTGGCATATCTCCTAATGTAATCCATGCTTGTCTATAATAAAAAAACAAACAAACTTTGATAAAGAATATACACAACAACAAAAAAAATGTACTTTACTTTCGATCATTACCAACAACATCAAGAAATCCAACATCTTGTGTATATGATGCATTCCATTTACCAAGTTTTGCTTGTTTTGACAAAGCAATTAAACGAATATTATCACTATATTTTAATTGAATCTCTTTATTTTCTAAAAAACAAAAAAAAATCTGATGTATGTTTATTGAAATATATGTTTATTTATTTTAAAAATATACCTTTTAGAAATTTTCGACCTAGATAAAATAATTCTTCAATAGTTGACCCAAATTGATTTGAAAGACTTGATGATTGTTTTTTATCTATTTGATTAGTACGATTAGATTTCTGAGGAGGCGGTGCAACATTTATTTGACCAAAACAATTACCAGCAAGAATTTCATCGTAATATACTGCCATGAATATATTGAGAAATTTGACCGACCGACGATCTACGACAACATATAAAAGAGTATCGAATGGACAAATAACATAACCAATAAAAAAAAAGGTGAATATGAGAGGTTAACATTTAATTATCATGTCGAATGAAGACATATGATTGGTTATTATTGATTTATAATAGAAATATATTGTTCAATATTAATAATAAAGAACATAATTATAAAACTTGAAATTAAAACGACATGTGAAGGTTGTTCAAATGCTGTAATACATATATATATATATATACTTGAATGACATATCAAATTATCTCCTCAATAAATACTAAAATAAAATGCCGATAATTTTTTGAATAAGAACAAAAAAAAAGATCTAAAATACGTATAATATCAACTATGAATACAGGACAACTTAATCCAGTTACTTTAAAAAGAAAAGTTGCATTCATTGTTTAATTCTGAATTCTTTTTTGAGTTAAATAATATTAAACAAAAAAGAAATTCAATTGTTTACGTATTTCCTTTTTATTTCTCAGTTTTCTCTATAGATAAAGCTTTTAATTCATTCTAGTGGCGGAGCCAGGATTTTGAGCTGGGAGGGGGCTCAGGGTCTTCTAAGGCACCTCTGAGCCCCGGTTTTCGAATAAAATACATGGTTTTAAAATTTTCCTGGGGGNCCGGGGGTGTGGGCGCGGGTGGTGGGGGGCGGCCCCCCCCCCCCCCCCCCCAGGAAAATTTTAAAACCATGTATTTTATTCGAAAACCGGGGCTCAGAGGTGCCTTAGAAGACCCTGAGCCCCCTCCCAGCTCAAAATCCTGGCTCCGCCACTAATTCATTCATTGTAGCTTTAAAAAACATTTAAATATGTTTATCAAACCAAGTGAAAATACTTTCAAATAACAATAATACATAAAATCGAACGTCTTTGTTGCAATTATATTCATCAATATTGAATAATAACAACAACAACAAAAAACAAATATCATTCAACTTAAAAAACTGTGAAAATATTTTTGAATACACTGATTGTTTTTATCTATGTACGGATAGAATTCATGCTTGTAATAACAGCAATAATTATCTCTAATAAATAATCAATTGAAATCATATGATTTTCATCACATTTGTAAAGACATATAATCTTTCTATAATGTAAGTATGAAGTTTGTCGACGAGATAAAAAAAAATAACTCAGGTTGAAATATTTCAATGATTATAGAATTATTATGAATCTTTGATGAGATTAATTTCTATCTCAATAAAGTTTTTCCCAGGGCAATCATTCCGACCATCGGAAACAGCGTATTACTGGATTATTTTTCATCGTAATCCGTCAGCCGGCTTGTTTTTCGCTAGCAAATCGTCATTATCTTTCTTGCTATTCTTTCCATTTTACAAACTTATGAAAAACGACGATTTAAACACGTTGTTTAATTAGACGTAAGTTATTCTTGGAAAATTTATACTAAATAAGAATTGCTTTTATTAATCATAATAAAATTCAAGGACAAAACTAGTACATTCTAACAGAGAAACAAAAACAGCAAGCTTCAATGACTTTTAATGTCGTATTGGATTGTCGACTTATCTTTTTCTTAAGAAAAAAAAAAAAAAAAGTAGTGTCTTGAGAATAATTAGAACGATGCTGAGATTGTCACAACAGATAAAAAGCCTTGAAACTTTCACGGATGCACTAAGCATAAAGAATTATGTTGTCGGATGCATTAATGCAGTTTTCTTTTCCGATTATCTTTTTCAAGAAGAAGTTTAATAATAAAGAATAAATGCAAAGTAAAACTATATTATTAATTCATGAAGGAATTAATTATCATAAAAAAAAAAAAAAAAGAACTGATGAATATTTTCGTAATCTTAAAAAATATTTCGTTTTCATTTTTTACATAGACATCATAGAGTAAATTTCAAAATCTCAATATTTTTATTGATTGAATTTTCGTTTTCAAAGAAAAAAAAAAAAAAGAAATGAAAATGTGCTTCAAAATAAATTTTCTGAATTATTATATGTTATAGAACTTTTCAAATAATTACATATGTTTTCCGTTTCCACAAATGAAAATGTGAGATGAGCTAATATTTCTTAGAAACAAGTAATTTACATACATTTTTGCGAATATAGAACCCTAACACTCGTAACTATAGTAGAGTAGATTTAAAACAAACTGAATGCATTTCAATAGAACACAAAGAAATTTAATTGATTGAAAAAAAAAATCAAGAAAGAAATATTTGATTAGCTGAGTAGAACAGTTATCATAATATCTGCTTGACTATGAAAAGACAATGGGAAAATTTTGATCTAATTGATAGAGTTACTTTGTTCGAATGTTTGCATTTGAGATTTGAATCCCACATTATTAGTGTTACTATTTTCAGTAACATAGATGTGTTTCCTGTTTTTAAAAATGGAACTCTGTTTTGCATAAAATGTTTCTAGAGAAACAATGAACATATAGATTAGTGTATTACAAAAATGTAGTAACAATTATCTAAAGATTTAGAAATGTCGATAACTTGTTTTGAAGTGCATTCTCGTTTCTAAGAACAAAAATATATGTCCCATTTCTATTCCTAGAAATGGAATGATGAAATTGACACACATACGATAAAGCTCGGGTATTTAAGTATAATGTTTTTGTGAAAAATGATCTAACAGGCCAATTAAAGTGCAAGCGTAAAAGATTCGATCTACTTTCCTCAGAGACCGAACATCAATACCCTCTCATTATAATGTATGAACTAATTCCTTATTGCATTTCTAGAGAATTAAATAGACGACACGTGTGTCAAAATAGACAGAATAAAACAATTCTCCAGTGATTAGTAACAGCAACTGCAGCGCGTTTCACATTTTAATCCTATAGAGGTTGTACTAACAACTTTTTCTCAAAATTCATTTTAATTTCAAACTTTTTCAATTGTTTTTGAGAAGAATAAATGATAGAATATGTCATCAGATTTATTTAGTGTTGTTAAATTCAAATTTTATAAGCCAGGAATGTTTTGCAAAACATCAGGAAATTATTTGGCGATTCATTTTTCGAAAAAAGCTGAAACTCTTGTTATTTTTTTGTGCCTATTATATAGTCTGAAGTAGTATCTATCTACTGAATATATTTTGAGATCGAAAAATTGTGTTTAACCGTGAAGAAATTTGAACAGAAATCAAATTAGCAAATACTATACATTGTTTCGAGTTTTCTCAAATCAACTTTTTCATGAAAGAGAATGTAGAAATGCTTTCGTTTCTCCGGCCTAGTCATCGAATGCAAAAAAACCGAAAAAAATTATCTCGTATCTTCTGGTCAACTATCCGATTTCGATTAGAAAATTTCATTGAGAGTAACAAAGTACTGTTTGACCGGGTTTGAAAATTTTGGAGTCGATGGTGTTTAGTGCCTGTTAAAAAAAATGTGCAGCTCGATCGAATATACTATATGGAAGAAATCGGAAGGTATGTTTTCGTCATTGTGATTTCAGTATGTCATAGAAGACAGCACCCGAGAGCTTTCAATCTATGACAGCTTTTGCTTTACGCATCAAGATCTATATGTCCTGAAAGTTTCACATATTTCTAATCAGCCGTTCTTCAAAAATCGTGACAAAGGTGAGGGAGGACGCTTAAGCGCTTCTTATATTCTGTTACCTAGTTGATGATGTCAACAATTTTCCTCTTAGGGATATATAAGAAAATTAGCACAATACCCGCGGGATGCAAATTCGAAGCACCATGTAGCTGTTGACCCTAATTGCAGAGAGATTGTTCTATTCTATCTATTTTGAGACACATTTTTTAAGTATTATTTTACTTTATCCTTCAGAAATGCAATTAGAAACTAGGTTATTATTATAATGAAATGTTATGAATATGTGGTCTTTGGTCTTATACCAGCAACGCTTGTCAAGATCTGTAGGAGATTCAAATGTTTATCTCTATGCTTCAACACTCCTTTTGATATTGCGTTTTAAAAAAGAAAGATAATCGGATGTGCGCTATATTATTAGTCAACTCATAGTCATTCATTCAAATATAGCGACAAAATAAAAAATGAAATTTATGTAAAAATTGTTTTGAACAAAAGCAACTGAGATATATTTTTTCCGATGAGCATTCATTTTAATTATTAATTCTGCGTCAACGAGGTTTTAATTTATGAATATAGAATTATACATTACAAATAGAACCTAAGGCTTTTGTTTGATCTTTTCTATATTCTTTCAATAACGAAGAATATGAGGGATTCTCGAGAGTCTGATCTTTCTAATAAGTTTGACACTTGACTAAAATCATCTTCTTGCAATGAAACCTTTCGATAAACACACCATGAGTTCTTTCTTTTTATTTACAGTTATACAAATTCTTGACATTGAATTTGTTTATCAATATTGATAATTTTAGTTTCTGAGAACTCAAGTCGATGCAACGTGTTTTCTTATCGATTCAAAATGTCACAAAAATTCAAGGTAACAAAATCCTATGAAACTAGGAGATTTGGCAAACATGATTTTATATTTTATTTCGACATTCGTGGTTTTTTTTGTTTTGTTTTTCATAAAGCATTTTGATCATTAGTTGTTGTTGCTAATTTTGTATATTCATGGGCAAAGGCAAGTTTTGCAATAGTAAAAAATATTACTGATTATATTTGAATTGATTATCAATCATTTTTACAATATTACTATGGATTATTTTAATACTTCTATCACCGACGTTTTTCTGATGTAATTTTAGCATTCAGTATGATAAATTCATGTGATTTTATTCATTGTAGAATAAGATATTAATTGAATAAAAATCTTTATTATTTGATTCTAATGAAAAAAAAAAGAGTTTTTGATGAAATGAATAGGAAAAACAGTATTGAAATCTTTTTTACTACTCGAAATTAGTGTTAATCGAACTTCTACAGAATCTCAATAATCAAGTATTTGAACAAAAGTTGGACTTCAAATTTTTGAAATATTTTGTTTTTATTATATGCATTTATTTTTATTGATAACGAATGCAAGGACTGTAATGATTTATTGTCTGTGTAGTTTAGTAATATGTTATGCATCATGATTTGTCCTTGATAAGTATTAAAATATATCATATGAAATTATCTGTTCTAAAAGCCTTGACGTACACATAATATGTCCTTCATCTAATAGCTAGAAGTTTTTCTTTTATGTGATTCCCTCTCAACCTTTGACAAATACATCGAACATATATAATGACCTTTTTATTTTGTTTATTACTGTCTATGATACAATGTCATAAGTTAAAAAAAATTATCGACCTTGATTTGGTTTTTGGTTCGGTTAATCAGAATCATTATCATTATCGGATATAAATTGATGTCTATCTTGTCTTTCTTTATTGTAACATTTTGATAGAAAGTGTATTCTATACATATAATGCACTATATTAGTTTTATTTTATTTGTTGTACAAATTTTTTATTTTATTGAACAAACTTATGGTCATGGTTATTTAGCTGATCCACCAGCACGTAGTTCAGCTTGGTTATTTGATAGTGATTTTAAAACATGTTGTACACATTATGATCATGTACAAATGTTTTGTGGAGGAACTCAGCATCAATGGACTGTTAATGGTAATGAAAATTTTTCTTTTTTTCAATAGATATCTATCTTTATTGTAAGTCATCTATAGGAGGCAAATGTTCAATTTGTGGTGAAGCTTACGATCTTCAACCTAAATTATTTGATGTAGGTGGTGAAATGTATCTAGGTAAAATTGTTCGAACATATACACAAGGTTCTGTTATACCCGTTAAAGTTATTGTAAGTTTTTGTTGTTATTCAAATTTTATTCATATTATAAATTATTTATTTAATCTTTTAGTTAACAGCAAATCATTTAGGTATATTCGAATTTCGTGTATGTAGCATCGATAATAATTCAGATAAAGATGCTACACAAAGTTGTCTTGATTTAAATATTTTAAAAACAATAAATGGATCAACACAATATCGAATTACTTCAAGTCTTAGTACTGTAAATCTTCATTTAAGATTACCAGATCAACTTGTATGTAAACATTGTGTATTTCAATGGAAATATCAAACAGGTAATAGTTGGGGAGTATCAAATGGACGAGCTTGTCTTGGTTGTGGAAGAGAAAATGAAGAATTTTATGGTTGTTCTGATATTGCAATTGTTAGTCAAGTTGAATCAATTGTTAATTCACAACCATCACCAACAACAACAACACTATCAAGTACTACTACTACTACTATCCCTACGACTACGAAAGAAACAACAAGACCATCAATAAAATATCGAAATTGTACATCAGTAATTACGTTTAGTCAAACATTTGATATCAGTACAATTATAGAAATATATTGTCAAATTGTTTGTTCTAATAACTGTGCTTCGGATAATGTAATTGGTAATGAAATACTTTATAATAGTTGTGTAGATTCATGTAATAAATTATGTGTATGTCAATAGATGTGGCTTATATTAAATATATCTTAGTTTAAAATAGTACAAACTTAAATACTTTTAAGGCAAAATTAAATATTTCGTAAACTAGCAAAACATTTCAAATATCGATATATTTACTTTTAACTGTATCATCGTATTTTTCATTTCTTTTTCTAATTTGTGAATGTAAAATCATTTTACAAATTTTAACGATTCAGATTATATATCTTTGTCTATTTAAGATTTTAAATAATAAAAATGATATTTAACAAAATCAATTGAAACATCATTTGAACTCTTTTATCTATTTGAGGTATAAGTGCACAAGATTGATTGTAATATTAATTTTTACTAGAAAATCATATCCAATGAAAATAAATCTCTTCACCCTAATGCAATCCAAAGGCGTAAACATCATTCATATTTGTTTGCATAATCTCTGCGAGACTAAAATGTGACGTACGATGTAACTGCTCTTACTGAACACCAGAAGATGGTTTTATGCAATCGATTTCAGAACACATTTTTTCACAATTCTTTTTACTTAATCTTCCGCAAATACAATAAAGAATTACTTTATATGCTATAACGCGAGAAGTTAGTAATATACGGATTCTGATGGTATGTCAACGTGTGTTACGGTCTGTGACGTTTCTATGATTGCATCGGTCACGGTTTGTGGATAGGAGTACATATTTATACTCCTATACTTCAACACTCTTATACCGTGAAGGTGACCATGCTAAAAAGAAATACATATCAGCTGACAAGTAAATCATGAATTAAAAAAAACGAGTGAATGTTAAATTTCTTCGATGAAAATCATACAAGAAGCCCAATGGATAATATTCTTCTGTTCGATTATTAGAATAATGCCGGTGCTTTAACATGTTTACAAGTCGAAAAAATATCATCATAAAAGATTTTCCACAACAAAGTCCAGTTATTAACAATCGTCTAATTAGACAACCAGGTAAACCGCCATACATTCTACATATACAATTATTGGCCGTTACAATCAGATCGATTTATACTTCTTACAAAGTTTTAATGTATATGCTGTATAAAATTCATTTTTTATCCAGTGTTGTATGATTATCGGATTAATTACACGGATAGTCCAATATTATTCTTAAATCTTCAGTAACTTATCGTCAAAGAAGTAACATGTAATATGTCGCATATAGGTAACGTAGACTAATTGAAATCTATACAAATATTAGACTAATACCACATAGAAAAATACACAGGTACATTCACGAGATAGATTACTAACAGCTTACCTTGACAGTCACTGGCTATCTACAAGATCAAAGATTTGATAATTCCGTTAAAGTAAATCAGATATAGGTCCATATTTGAGTAAAAAACAGCTATTATAATATTCATAATCGAAAAAAAATAAGATTTAAAACTTGCGAAAAAATCATCTAACGACGAAAATCTCTTCTATTTTCTTCTCAAAAATCTAAATCTTTTTTTTATCTTTCAATTAAAAATATTCATATAAAAATATGACAATTAAAAATTCCATTTTTTTATTATTTCTATTGAAATATGAATAGATGTCGTTATATATTAGTTCTTTAACCAAAAATAACAAATTCACAGAACCTTGAAATGGATGAAAATAAATAAACAAATTATTAGTTATGTTCACCTGGAAAAATTCTTTGCGTTTTCGATTTTATATTTCTACACAAAAAAAAAAAAAACTTTATTTATTTTCTCCATAAGTACGTCGGACGTACTTAGATATTTACAGCTGATGTAGACTGTGTTTACATTGGTAGTTTATCCTTGAATACAACAACACAACAAACAGTCGAACAATATATTGTAGCTTATTGGTTTAACTAATATTATACACATATGCATATGCGTATACATGTTTTGTTTACAGCTTCATGAAAACAGTTAAAAGAAGCATAGTGTATGTGATGGTTAAATAAAGATAAAGGTTCCAATTGTTGGCAGTTGTTTATTTTGTACAAATTTATTCGTAGTCAAATTATTTATGATATAGTCCAAATGAAATTTCAACAGAGATCAAAAATAAGTTATTTAATGATTCTATATTTTATAATGCAAATATTTATTGAATAATGTTTCTATTTTGTTAATGAATATATATATATATGAAAAAACACATGAGAACAACTTATATATGAAAAAAAAAATTAATTAAACAATTTATTCAAGCATGAAAATTATAGAGTAAGAAAATTTTCGTAAGTTTATCTTATATGATTCTCTTGATAAAGAGAAAATATAAAATTTCCTTGACAGATATCTGAAATTATGATGAACATCTTTTATCATTGGACATGAATAGTGTTGACATTATCTTCATATCAAAAACAAAATCTAAATAAAATTTCAAAAATTCACCATCAACTATAATTCAACAATATGAAAAATTCATTTTCCAACTATACAAAAAATATTCCAGTTTTTCCTTTTGTTATATATTCATACAAAATATTTCCTTTTTTTTTAATATCTATTAATAGAAAGACGTAGAAATACAGTTCACGGAATTAGTTCTATACGCGACTTTATCTGGGTCAAGATCCGTCAAGCTCTTAGTCATCTAAGAAATGTATCAGGTAGGCTAGTCACCGAATACAAAAAAACGTATGTCGTATTTTCGGGACGATAATCTGAATTTGAAAATTTTTGATCCATCAGGCTCTAAGCAGAAGTCTTATGTGTATGTGACTTATTGTTTTCTTTGGTTGAATAAATACCTTTTGTGCAAAATGAACTGACAAAATAGTTGAAGTGTAGAATGAGATCGTGACGGATATGTTAACAAGAATTCATTATAAATTATAATAGATATAATAGTGAAAATGAAATTTTCTTATGTATTTTTATCAGGTATTAAAAGAGATAAGATAAAAAGTTTTAGGATAATATTGATTGAATTTGAAAATAAATTCTTGGCTTTTATTTGTAGAGTTCTTTGATATTTTGCTGTCGAACAATAGCTTCTTAAGAAATTTATGTTTGATATTTATCGACTGAAAATTTAATCATTTAAATAGATATGTGTAGAGAAAAAAACGCTGAGAGCAAAGTGAAAAGAGAAGGCTGCTCACTATAGATTAGACACGCACCTCCTCGGGCATATAGGAATGGTTAATAGATAGTAGAACAGAAGACAAACATAGTTGAAGAAGAGAAATTTACTTTCAACTTTCTACTTCTTTCGTTCTATTATCTGTTTATCATTCGTTATATGTCAGAGTGGGTGCGTGTATGATCTATGTGTTCATCTTTCTCTTTCTTTTCAGAGTTTTTTTCTCTTCGTATTTATATATTTAAATGACTAAATTTTCAGTCGATCAAACTAAACAGCAAATTTTGTTAATAAGTTATCGTTCGATATCAAAGCATCAAATAAGGTATGGTCAATATTGATGTCTTTCTATTATTAATAGGATTTGTTTTTTTTTCTTTTTTTCATTTCACATTTTACTTCAATAGGAACTGCACTAATAAGCGTTTTCTTTAATATCTATCCATCGATTGAAATCAACTGGTAGAAGCATTAATGTATCATTACTATCTATCAAGAAGCTTTATTATTTTCTGAAATATGAAAATCTAAAACTCATCTTTTACCGTTTAGTTTAATATCGTATCGTATATAGGCGTGCACCGAACTTGAACTCCAATTCAGTATTCTTGGCCAGTTTAGATAGTGTGATTTATTCAAGCATTTCTTGAGGTACATGGACAACAATGGAAGCATATTAAGATTCGAGTATTTTTACACTATCATTGACTTCGTTTTAGGATACCTGTATTCTCCTTTAGGTTTTACATTAATTTATTTTATTGTGTGTAGACTAGAGATGTGCGGGATCAACATTTTTTGGTTCCGAGACCAAGATTGATTCTGTAAGTATCTAGTGAGGACTTATCAAAGCCTGAAAACCTTTCTTTTGGCTTACTTCTATTAATTAACTGAAAATGCCTGCACTCAAGACCGACCCGAAAACAGTTCAAAT